TCCCACACGCACACTGAGAGTTGGAAGCATGGAAGGAGGCCTGGAGGTTCCTTGAGGCTCTGACTGCGTATCGCCAGCAATCCCGGGTGAGCTCTTTGCCTTGTCTGCGAGGGCTGGGCGTGGCGGTGGTGTTCCATGCCTCGAGTATGGTACACAAAGCTCGGGCACCCTTCGCGAAACGCAGTGCTGACAAGGCGTCTCTCTGTTACACTTTTGCTTCCTCTTGGCACACTCTGCACAAGATAGCGCAACGCGCCTCTTCTTCTTCTTGGGCGCTGAGGGATCCGAGTCGTTCCTCTCGTCCTTGACAGTGCCTTGCTGAGAAGGTCGACGGGACAACGGCGTGCCGCCCGGAGATTGGGATGAGCTGCCAGGTCTATCAGGCTGCACGTGTGCTGGACCATGGTTTGTCATGGGGGTATTGATAGACACACGAGGAGATGTGGAGCGATATTGAAACCCACTAGACGATCCGCGTTGATTGAGCAGGGGATACGCGCCGTGATGACCGTCCCAAGGTGTCGCAGATCGATGTGGAAAATCTGCGAGGGGAGGCAATCTCTGGACCCCGCCAGACTCGCCCGTTCTTGGGGACATTCCAGACAACGACGGACTCCAGGCAGGCATCCCTCTCGAAGATGGAGGTCGCTCGGGATTTTGCACCCAGCTTGATGGATCGGTGTGGCCGCCAGACGGGGAAGGAGCATCGCGAAATCCGGGAGATTGAGGTAGATAGTTGCGAGGAGAAGGAGGCGGCAGACCACGAAGGAATGAGTTTGATCGATGATGTCCTGGTGGCCTAGGATAGCGCGAGTCATCTATCGGGCGCTGCTGCATCGCACGAACAAGAGCTCCGACTCGTTGCAGAAGTTGAAATGTTGGACTCGACCGAAGAACAATCAAAAAGTCCGATACGACTGCGTTGTGGCTGTCAGAGCCCCTGGTGATCGATCAGGTGATTTTTCGTGCTTGCACGCTCCGCCCTTTGAGTCTAGTGATTTCGTCTTCCTAGGGCCGGGCTGGTACAAAAAAACGTTGCTGTTGGCCCACGTTCCTGCCCTCTAGTGTCTATGCCGCTGTGTTGGGAAAGGCTATTTGCGTTGTTGTCTCGTTGCGATGCAAAGCTGTTGAACATACAGGGAATGAAAGAAGGGGCGCCGTTTTTAGGTTCGGTATTCAACAACCGGGTCTGGCCGGAGAAAAGAAAGATTTTCCTCCGAAGCCATGCGGCATGCCCTCATGACTTGGACTCACTTGGCACCCCAATGCTAGTCCATTCGGATGCTATTGCGCGATTATCCACTTGTTCATAATAATGATACATGGTAAGTATTGGATACAGTAAAGAATCAACGCAACACCACAAGGGTTTCATTCACCACCCCAACTCCATCAAGCTGCTTGCTTGGCAGCAGGCTTCGTTGAGCGCCGTTGTTTCCGCTCCCCAGCCAAAGTCTCTGCAAACTTGCTTCGCTTGCGGAACCACGCGCCCTTGTAGTAGAACACAAATATCGGGATCGTCACAAAGACGGCAACGATCGCAAGGATGGTTGTTGGCCATTCGAGGTGCAGGCGATATGATTCGCCGCCGACATTGCTGTAGACTGGACGAGTCAGAGTCTACTGGGATGGTGGCAAAGGCAGGGACATACAGGGTGTGGAATACATTGCTGCGATACCAGCGAGGAAGTCTCTAGCGAGGCCGTTGCCTCCAGTGGCTGAAGCAGAGTATGGCCCGTACGCAGCGATCATGTAATCGATGGTCGACATGTATATGGCGTACTGTTCCATCAGCCTTGGTGTCTCTGCTAAAACAAGGAAATACTCACGTTGGCAATCCCAACGAGCGCACTGAAGATCATTGGTGCGATCCAGTGGACGTGAGGGGGTCCGAGACTGGTCCATGCAAATCCAAAAAGACCAATTGCCTCTAATGGAGCTAGGTAGAGGAGCGGCTTAAGGCGGATCTCTGGTGGCGTTTCTTCGTCGCTGTTAATCAATTGTCGTTGTTTCCAGAGTGTTGGAATATAGATTGCCCAGGCGATGAAATAGCCTATGGCGATCGGGACAAATGTAGCGGCCATGAGTTCGGTCGAGAATCCCCATTGCTTGTATACTGGTGTGAACGCCTCTAGAAAAGTGAAGATGAGGGCGTCGCTGAAACCAGAAAGCAGAGAGCAGCAGAGAACGATTGGCTCGCGTACAAACATCTCAAACGGCCTCGCCCAAGTGGTGAGGATTTCGTGTGCCGAGAAACGGTTCTTTTTGACTTCCGAGGGACCGTAGATGTTGGATTGACCATTTTTACGAAGACGACGTGCTTCTCGATCGAGCAGGACGGATGCGCGTGTTTCAGGAACGAGAGCAAAGTGCAGGATTTGCACAAATCCGCCGAAGATGAGCTGTACCCAGCAGATCCATGCCCAGGACAGGTTGACCTCTATGAATGGACCGACTAGAGGACCGATCACACTTCCAAAGACCGAGGAGAACACAACAAACGCGACAGCGAACTGCTGGTTGTTTGCGTCCCACATATCGGCAACTGAGTAGGTCAGCTTGTTGCGGACACAAAGAGGATTAACCCACCCATGCCAAGAGTCACGGAGCCACCGGCTGAAGACAGACCACCTAGTGCTCGAGCGACGATGACTGTGCCGTAATTTGGCGCGAGCGCTGCCAAGATCTGCCAGACTGTGATTGTTTCAGCGCAGCACGCAATCTACGGGTGCAGTTGCAGATTGGTACTCACTGTTGACCAGGAACAAACTGGCCTGGAGGGTAGGCCATCGCCCAATCTCCTCGGACCACGGCGCCCACAGCTCACAGCCAAACGCATAGCAAATCAAGAAGACCATTTGACCGACACGTCCCGCTTGTGCCGAGATACCAAACTTGTCTTGCAGCAGGCTCACACCATTCGAATACACCTGTGCTCGTCAGTAATCAGTCGGAACAGGATGTCGGAGTGTCTTACAGATGCATTGAAGTTCATCGAACATTGTACAATGAAAATGACAGTGAGTATTCTCCATTTCTTATGAGTCGGATAGGAGAATCCCAGTTTGTCGTACGCTTCTTCCTCTTGTAATTCATGTCGGCCATCCGGCAAGTCTCCGGTAATCTTCTTCTTTTCCTCTGATTGAATTACCCCATCATTGTTCGGTTTCTTCTCTCCTTGTGCACTGGCTTGTGCGTCGCGAGCAGCTTGATAAACAGCAGTCTCTTCGCTCGTTCTATCGTCGGGAACCATACCGAATATATGTTTATATGTCTATACAGGATGCGGGGAGACAGAGACACAGTTACTCAGACCAGATCTTTTTTAGCCTTTTGGTTTTTATTCGGTCATTTCGTTTCGAACCGGGAGTTTAGGAAGAAACAGGTATGCTTGACGTCACACGATTTGTCACCCGCGCTTTTGATCGGAGGGGCACAGCTAGTTCTCCGTGGACACCTTGTGCTGCCCCGGGAAGGCATTGAACTAGGGCAGAAGATTATATGCTATTAATTTTTCCTAATGGGCGCACGGCCGAGAAAGAATACCGCCGGCAACGATCGGCGAATGACGTCGGCGGCTTTTCGGTTACACACGACGCTCGATATTGCGTCTGATGTGAAATATAATTTTGCCAAAGAGCGAAAGAAGCCTTGAAATATGCTTAAGCAGATAGGTACCCTCAAAGGACTCGAAGTTGGTTATCGCAAGTCAATGGTCCTCGCGCTGAATTCAGAACTTGTCGTCGAAGACCATCCTTGAGATGACATGCTTGGCTTGCCAAGCTGAAACAATTTTGAACGAACAGAGGAAACCCTCACGACAGCTGCTTCTGCAGTTCGGAAGGTGAGGTTTAGAGAGGCAGGTTCAGACAGTGGATCCAAACATGGTGTTTATCACATTGTCGGCGACAGAATTCCAACGGCGTACATTTAGCCTACACAAGAGTAATCCTGCGCATCTACCCAGTGACGCGGACCACCTAGTGTCGGCAACAGCCACGCATACGCTCGTCCGATAGTCGTTGTTTTCGGACACAGTCGCTTGTGAGCTAGCGAAGGAGTTCTACAGAACCACGAGAACTCAACTCCAAGTAGGTTGTATATATTGTACCGGAAGCTCGCGGCCCGCCGAACGGTGGCGAAAGGCCCGTATGGTGCAGTGGTTTTAGCATGTGTCCCTCCTATTTGACCTCATCAAAGACAGGCCCCATCTCCGCCTACTACACCAAAAGGCGCACACAGATGACACCTCTGAAGGGGCATTGATGAACAAGGCCGCAGATGTAGCGGCCAAGCTAGCACGAGACAGCGAAACTTTCGTTAAAACCCCTCTGCTGCACGCCGATAAATTCTCGCTTTATACTGATACAGGAATATCGACCACCCATGTTACAAAATGGCTAGAAGAAGTCTGGAAGTCAACCCAACCTGCGATTTTAAGGCGATCTGGTAACGTCTATAAATACCAACATGAGTATTTGTTCACGAAGGCTAAAAACGCATTCTCGGTGAAGACGATGTACCTGATACGCTCCCACCAGCTACCCACCCAGGCCCGGAGCATGGAGAGGAGCGGTGCCGTGATAACTCAGACATGTGCACTGTGCGAGGAAGCCGCAACGATGACAAACGAACGCCATATATTTGTGGAATGTCCTGCAATTCAACAGGTCCTCGTTCAAGGATCTGTCGAGGCTACACGGAAAACGGAAACCTTCTTTGATAAAAGAGCATCAGAAGACCAAACTGCAAATGCAGACCTTGAAAAGCATCTTTGGCTCGCTCAAAGCCTATTCATAGACCATGCACTATGGGACGCGAGAACTGCCTCGGTTCTTCGAATACAACGATAAATACCGTGTCCTGTACGAAATGATGTCGAGCATAACAGTGACCATGACAGGGAGGATCTGGGGGATGCACGTGAAAACGCATGCCAAGCGATCAGAATAAAAGGACTCACCTGAAACCCGCACGTGCCAAGAACAAAAAGACGCTGAAACCCGCACAGGGATTTGAACCCCGGACCATGTCCGTAAAATTTCCATTTCCGGAAAGACACATGCTGAGACCACTGCACCATACGGGCACCACCAAACAACACATGAAACACTCATGGCGTATTCCTGAACTATAATCGGGAGGGTCTCCGGCCCACTCCCAATGCTCTGCCCTCCGGGGCCTGCCATCTCATACGTAGTATGTAGACTGGCCTCCATGCATCTATCCTCCGATTTTGGGAGTTGTCACGGACATGGTCCGGGGTTCAAATCCCTGTGCGGGTTTTATTTTGTTCTCGGTACTTAGATCCTTTTGTCCGGAGTCTCCGCCTGGGTGAGTGCTGGTAATGAGTTGTGAATGCTATTTATCATGATATCACAAAATGTTGTGAAAATCCCGAGCGGTGAATTGCGCATCATGTTCAGAGTAGTGCTGTTAGTGCTGTCGAAGGTACACACAGCACTACGACGTCCCTTGTTTCCCAGCGTTGTACTCGCGTGTCATCACCGGATCCACGCATCCAGCCCGTCAGCAGACGACTGAGCAAAAAGACGAACATACACCCGAGTCAGATTCGAAGCATCGTAGTGAAAGTCATGCGGCTGTCGCCGCCTCCCGGGGCAGCCAATATCTATCTTCACATCTTTTCACCATTTCGTATTTATTCATTGTGTGCATAATAAAATGTCATCTTCTTCGTCATGGGACGTAAAGGGATCCTCTGTATCTCCACGACTATGCCCGTGAGTTTTGGTCATATCCGCTTCATTCCTCGCTCGCCACGCCCTGGTATTCGGGCTGACGACGAGATTGTGCCGTTTTCTCTCTACAGATTCGACCACTGTTCCGGAGCGTTTTCGACGCCTGAAGCAATGTTGGCGCATTACGACGAAACGCATTTGCGTGAGCCAGTCATTGACGAGCTGCGAGGACGTAAGAGACGGAGAATGAGCAGGCGAGGAGAGTATGAGCTTGTTCCGGAGGAATTTAGGTTGGCTGGTAAATCTTGCGTCTTCCTTCCTTCCCTCTCCCTCCCCCTTCTCTTCCATACCTCCCCTTCCCATCCCGTCTTAACCCCTCTCTAGCGTAGCAGCCACTGATGCTATCACTCTCAAGATGAAATACGAATTCGGCATGTGGATTCACAGACCACTGGCGACGTGACCACGACAACAACAAATACCACCCTCTCTCATCCACTCCCACCGTCTTTCGGCAGTCTTCCTGCCAGTTTTCCAAATGCCTTACCGACCGACTTCATCCTCCCTCCGAGAGAAATCATCATGGAGGAAGTACAAGTGGATTACGGTTCTTTCCTCCAATCACCATCTCCCGAAAGAAATGCCATGCCCCCGCCTGCTCCTAGTCCGTTCGTGCCTATCACACAAGCGCAACCACCATCTGCACAACAGCCACTACCGCAATCACCGGATATCTCGAGGTCACGTGCGGGTTCAATGGGTTCTCAAGCGGGTAGAAAGTCGCTTGCTTTTGGAGCGGCGCTGGAAAACGAAACGTTAAAGCCTGATACTCCCGAGAAAGGAAGATCAGCAGTAGGCGGCGTTGGATTTACATGGGGTCTTAGACAATAATACGAGGCGAAGCTGGCACTGCTATTGGTTGACGCCGATGGGGCTAGAGCCATAACATAAGGGGAAGTGTTGATCATGTCATTCATATGTCATCACGGTCATTGAATAAATATACTGATAATCTCGTCAAGATCGTATCTACTGATATACAAACACGCTGATGGGTTCCTGCCCCAAGCTAAAATCATGATTATGAATCTCACACATTCTTCGGTCACCAACCTCCCTACACTTCCGGGTCGACCACACTGACGGCTGAAATGGTCTGCGTGAGTTGCTTGAGATTCCTCTCCTCCTCTTCCTTCCTGTGCCTCGCCTCAATCCTCCTTCTCTGGTTGCTTGCCAATTCCCTAGCTGTGACTAAGCGGCTTGCGAGCTCCTTCTCATATTCTTCCAACTTACCCCAGAACACCACAGCCGCTTTTGCGCGGTCGCTGAGCTGCTTGGGATGATCGGGATCGATGAGGTTGTTTGGAGTGGATGTTTCACTGCTCGAGGTGATGGTTTCTGGAGTCGTCGGAATGGCATGTTCCTCGGACTGGGGTTGCGTGGCAGGGACAGCAGTCGGGATCGGAGAAGGCGAGTACCAGTTGCTTTCAGGTCGTTTGAGCCAGTCGATGAATCGAGCAGAAGCACTCGGACCTCCCTTTGCTCTCTTGCGAGCCCTCGCAATCTCTGGGTTGAGCTTGATGGTTTCCCATTCCGTCCCCAACCGCTTCAATGCTCCACCCGCTAGGCTGTCGGGCTCTGTATCAACAAGCCACTCCCAAAGATCATGTTCATGCGTGAACTCAGTCTCTAGCCAGGTGGTATAATTGAGGCCGAGCCAATCACAGAACGCCCGCGGGTCACTGGTGAGTGCAATATCGATGCCTGGTACGCCCACGAATGGAGCATGTCTCAGGACGATCTCAGCGCGATGCAGTGTGAGAGAGCGAGATATGGATCGTAGGATCAAAGCGAGTAACATCGGAGTGATGGCGAATGATAGTGCCAGACGAGCGAATGGGACTTGGTAGCGAGGCAGGAGAATTAGATCGATTTGATAGAATGGCTATGAAACGAGTAGGCAAGTTAATTAGCATACATTGTCTTACGAGCGTGATGATGAGAGACAACGATACCGAATGACAGAGAATGAGGCATACACACACACACACACACAGAGACAGGAAAGCTCACCTCGTAACCATCAACAGGAGATAATGTCGAACCAATGATACTTGCTGGTACACCGATATGAATCTCTGCGCTATTCCTCTTCCACATTGTTCCATGCAGTGCTTTACACACCGAGCCACACCAAGCTCTTGGAGATTGTCTCTCCTTGTCCGATTCAACCTGATAGTTGTCCGATTCGACGTGTGGACTCTCATGGTCGTGTTGGTGATCATTGATTGAACCACGTTCCATGATCCCTTTGAGAGACTCGATGAGTCTCACATCGTCTGTTCCGCAGAGCAAATCAAGATCACCGTGTTCTACTTTATCCACCAAGAAACGAGGTATCTCGATCGGATTGAAGTATCCTTCAAGAGACTTGCGCGCATGTAAAAGGAGACTGTTCAATTGGCTAGTCGTTAGTCGGGAGGCTATGAATGGCGTCAAGGCATTACCACCCATTGTCGATTCGAAGATTGAGATTGCAGTAGTCTCGTATGACTATTGAATGGATCAGAGAGTCGCTGGTCCCGCATGTACATGACGAAGAAAAGAGAAATGGTACGATTAATGTCGATATACGGAAATGACTACAAACGGCGTGGTTGGGGCGCAGAAGAGGGAGGGAGAGGAGGGATCGTCTACGGGAAATCACAAAATAGCTCGAGTCGCGGCCAAGGCACGCTGCAACAACACTGCATTATCTGCGACATGGAACCATAACCGATGCATAGACAGACACTTCGAGATGCCAAACACGTTCCTCCTCTCTCCAACTCGATCTATCATTGTGGGGGACGTGCTGGGAATCTGCACATTGTCAGCGCTCGTTTCCCAAAGGCAAAAATACTAATAGCTCACCCAGGAGGCATCTGTCCAGGTGGGAATGCCATTCCGGGAGGAGCACCAGGGAACCCAGGGGGTCTGAATCCAGGCGGCATACTGATCTTATCAGCTAACAACCAAAAGAGACACAACAGCAAAGCTTACCCGGCGGGAGGTGGCATTCCGGGTGGCAATCCGCCCGGGAACCCTGGAGGCATACCTGGGGGGACACCCATACCGGGCGGGAAACCAGGTGGTGGTCGTGCATAGGCCATTGGTCGAGCAGCCATTGCAGGAGCGCCTGGGATGTCAGCTGAGCTCATAGGAATGGTCATCCAAATAGCTCTGGACCGCCCAAAGTCGCCACACAATCTTGACACAACGAGACAGAGCAACGATAGGGATCCAGAATGTCATTCGCCTCGTCCCACGCTTCTATTCCACCAAGGACAGTACACATCTCCGTACAAAAGCTCCTCTCCACATGCGGTGATACTCGATCCAACACCCTCACTCTCCCAAAGATATCCAACTCAGTCACATTCAACTCCGCTTTCCGTGTTCATTCACTTGCAGTCCCGTCCAAGAGAAGGCCGAAACAAGACCAGATCGCGTCCCAACCCGGACGAAGCAGCGTCCAATGCAAGACCAAAAGCCAGTACGGCAACTCACCAGCACCCAAACCCATCCCACGTCCTGCGGGAACACCCCTTCCAGGCCCAGCCAACATCTGCGAGACCTTATCCTCGCCTTGAACAGGTGGTGGTCCCTCGACTGTAACGCTCACGATTGTTTCTCCTCTAAGAATGACGAGACCGAGTGTACGTTTTTGTTGGACTGTTGGTGCTGGTTCGTTCTCGCCGGAGGAAGTTTTGGTTTTTTTACCCTACACCAGATTTAGCAACTAGTCGCGACGAGGACATTAGAAAAAGAGAGGGAGAAGAGGGCGAGGAAGAGAGACACAGACACGGAGAGGAGTAGATGATGTGATGGAACACACCTTTACAGTCCGGAATTCTTCACACTCAGCCAAAACAAAGTTCATGTGTTTATCATAAGCCAACATCTGACCGACCAACGCTCGTCCATCGTTCCTATGATGAATCAAATCAGCTCTATACTTTTGCTTTCCCGCATAGACTACAGCCACCTGAGGAGAGATTTGGGGGACAGGTGAGTGAAAAGAAAGGGAGGCTCATGAGTGGGAAGAAAAGGGATGGGGAGTAAGACATAATACTTACAATGTTACTTTAAGACGATAGTTGAGTAAAGTCACCATCTTTGAGTGTTTTGCTTTAGGAGCTATTTCATATTCAGTCAGCTTCAAGCCCCGAACTAATAGCATATTGATGCAACTTACGAGGCTGTTTTTTTGATAGAGTATCAATGAACGAGGAGATAGGGAGAGAGAAAATATCTATATCAGTTCTTGCTTTGCTAAAAACAACAACACCAATCTCCAAAGAGCCTTTCTAATCCTGGCACGATTCTCTCTCCTTCAAGACCTGTC